ATCATTAGTGTCAAAGCAATAGAAAGGCCAAGTACAATAAATCCCGGCAGCCTGGGAGGTAGTTTTAGTTGCACAGTAGAACTCAAACTTGAACTGTGAGAAGTTTAGGAATCAAAAAGATCTAAGAAATGAAAGCACTGAATTTAGATAAAGCATTCTGGAGTTGAGATGTGACACAAGGAGTCAAAAATGGCAGTGGGAGTGGTTCTAAAAAGAAGAAATGTGAATAGACCTAGACACTGAGGGACCACCGTTGCCTTCTTCACCAGGAGCTTAGAACTAAGAGAGCAGTGAGAAATGGAAAGATTCAGGTTAGGAGCTCTGAGACTTTTCCACTGTGACAGAGGGGAAAGGGTGGTAAAGAGGCAACCAAGTACTCTTGGGAGTGAGGGTGGTCAAGAAGGTGGGAAGATTCTTACTGCTTTTATTGTCTTGGGACGCAAAGTAAGAGTTCACTGGAGGAAGAAGATGTTTGCATGTTACCTTATGTGTGTGCTTTTTTGACTTCTGAAGCCAAAGGGCAGCAGACTGAACAGCCTGATGCTCAAAGTCATACTGAGTTCCATCTTCTAAGAAAAGCTCTAATTAGACATAACTACTGCCTTTCAAGGAGTAATTTGTAAAGGATCCTCAAGTGCTAATGTCAAAATAAGACATGATTATAACCATCACTATTAAAACCAGACGTAGTACAGGGATGACACATTTATCCTTGTTACTGCTTTCAATGTCATCAAAACTCATCTTCAAAAACTTCCCCAAATTTTCAAGAAGACTCAAAAGCTTATCTGATTTTCTCTTTTCTTTCCTCCGGTTGTTTCCTTTTTCTCCCTAGTCTACTTTATTAAAAAAAAAAAAATCACCAGCTATATTTTCTCCCATCCTGGATTCAACAGGACAGGCATTTATACATTTAACACTCTACACAGAGATTTCATGCATTCTGATGAGATCCTACAACCTTCCTATGAGTTGGTGAAAGAAGCTGTTTTATTTTCAGTTCATAGATAAGGGCACTGCCATGGTTTGGGTCCACCCAAGAGTCCATGTGCTGGAAGCCTGGTCCTCATGTGGTGGTGATGGGAGGTCGCATAGAAGTTTGGTAAGATCAGAGTGTTGCTCTCAGGAGGGATTGACGTAGCTCTTGGGGGAGCAGGATTAGTCCTCTGGAGAGAGTTGTTATAAAAGAGGAAGTCTGGACATCCTGCAGTTTCACTCACTCTGTCCTGCCATGTGATCTCTCCCTACTGAACACACTCCTATCAGTATGAAGTGGTCTGCTATGAGGTCCTCACCTGAGCTGAGATGATGCCAACACTATGTCCTTAAACCTCCAAGCCAGTAAGTAAATATACCTCATTTCTTTATCCATTATCTAGCTTCAGGTATTTTAATACAGTAACAGAAAACAGACTAATACAGATATTAAGATTCAGAAAAGCTAAGGACTTCACCATTCATTAGAAACATACACAGAATATAACCCTATCATGTGTCTCCAAAGACAGCTATTCTTTCCATCACATTGCACTCTTTTTATAAAATGTCTGAAAGCCCAAAAGGCAGCTCAAGATCCTTCCAGCCTCAGATTAATCTGAAATCACCAAGTATTTAAAGTGAAAAATCCTGTGCTACAATTTCAAGGGTTTTTGGTTTTTTTTGGTGGGGGGGGCTGTCATTAACTGATCTCACAATCCCTCTCCCATAATAAAGAACCTAAATACTTTTGAAGCAACAAGTAATATTGCTCACTCAGAGCTGAGGAAGCACATACAGTGCTAATCACAAAGAAAAGTAATGGTGTTTCAGGTTTCTCTCTAATGCAAAGAACCCAAGCAATAATGCCTTATATTCGCACTAGGCAAGCAAAAAAAAAAATCCTCCTCCACTGCATCCATGAGTATTAGTTTCCTTCTACTGCTATAACAAATTACTGTAAACTTGATGGCTTAAAACAATAGAAATATACTATCTTACAGTTCTGGTGGTCAAAATTCAAAATGGATCTTATTCCAAATTGTATAACTGAGATAATGTGAAATAGGAAGAAAGGGGCTACAGGTGTAGGGGAAGTGGTAAGAGTAGGGGAAAGGAAATAAGGGACAAGAAAAATATGAGAAAAGGAAAAAATGGAAATGAAGTCTGTAAATAGGGGAGGGTAGAGCGGGGTGAAGGGAGGGCAAGGTATGGGGAAAAAATAAGAACCAAGATCTGTCATGCAAAGGTACAAGATCCCAATGGTGAATGTAAATGAACTGCATACCTAAAAAGTACCAATAAACTCATTCTAAAAAATGGATCTTAGTAGGCCAAAATCAAAATGCAGGCAAGGCTGCCTTCCTTCTAGAGCTCTAGGGAAGAATCCATTTCCTCCCCTTTTCCACTTTCTAAATGCTGCTCACATTCCTTGGCTCAAGGCCTCTATCCAACACTCCAGTCTCTACTATTATCACCTCTTCTCTCAGGCTCTCCAGCTCTCCACTTCCACACGCGTTCTCTTATAGGAGAAATCCAAAGTATGAATGAATTACAAAATAACAGATAACTGGAAACAGGGAGATGGATCTTTTGCATTTGGGAAAGAGACCAAGAGATGAAGAGAGGGAAAAGAGAAGGGAGAGGAAGGAGACACAGAAAGAATTGAGATGCGTTATGCACATGTACCCCAAAATGAATGTAATCATGAACTGCAAGTATATTCTAATAAAATTAAAATTTATAAAAGGACATTTATAACCAATTACATCTGTCCCTAATTCCAGCCAGAGCTCCAGCCCAGCTCCAAGTCATGTGCTAAGGTGTGGAACGAGAGGAGAAAGGGCCTAATGCTTTTTGCTGTTGTGAGCCGCCTCTTCATCCCTACTTATCTTTCTTCTCTTTCATCCAAAGAGCTCCCACTTTTTCTTTTTCTATATATCCCCAGAGTTGACCTTAGTGGTCTGTCTTAGGGCTTCAAAGTCTTCTCTTCAATAGATTTTAATATGTGTCTTAATTATATTAGTTAAGTAGGCATCATTACACAGGCATTCCTCATTAAAAAATCAACTGTTGAGAACAGAAAAGGCAAGGAATACACAAAATCTAATCCAGTGGATGGTAACTTAGGCAACATTCATGAGAACCATTACCTAATTTTTAAGACAAAGATTTCTTACCATGTACTGTGCTATTCTAACATAAGGTCACTGTTTAAATTTTCATCTGCCTTAAGTAACTATGGGATATGCAGGACTGCTCTTACCAATATACTAGAAATGCAAAATTTCATGACCATATACTCAAAGCTTCCTACAAGTAAAACGAACTATTAGGGTATCAGACAATACATTTGAACATGCAGACTAAGCAATGTTTACAAAAATCATCTCTTTTATCACTGAAAGGAAATAACACAAATTCATAAGGCAAAGAGTACTTTTTACATATCACTTATATACCTGATATTCTTAACCCATCAAAACATATTAAGAATTTTCTCCTTTTAAGGGTACAACTTTATTTTCTTGTAAAATCTGTATTATAAACACTATCACAGATGTCAAATCTTTGGAAAAAAGGTAACAGAAAAATATTGACTTTCAGTAAACTATCATTGCTAACTTTTAATTCTTTTCCAACAGGAAGGGCCACTGTTTGAAATTCTCTAGCTTTTCTTTTTTTTTCGTTGCAAAGGTGGCGGGGAGGGAGGGAGCGTGTGTGTTAATTTTAGCAAGGAGGTCAATCTGTCCAGGCAAAGTCTGATATACTGAATAATATCCAAAAACTATATTTTTCTCTGCTAGGAGAAAATATTATTTATAAAACATGAATGTAATTTAAGGTACCTTCTATAGCCTTCAACTGAATCTTTCAATACAACTTTACAGTCCTGCTGCAGTGACTTGTGGGCTGCATAGGATAGACTTCAGTGAACTTCTGAATATGTTTCATTTCTTTGAAGTGTTCATTAATGACCACTTAACTTAGAAATGCTATTCCTTTCTGTAGAAATCTATCCAACGTGCCCAATTTTTATTCCTATCTTGTGAAATCTTCCTGTGAAATAGATTAAACAGAAATCACCAGTTACCCGCACCAGCAGCATTCCACTTGCCTCTCTTTTCTCGTGCTAGGTCATTCTGAGGCTAGGGCACAGAGACACCATTCAGAAAATGAAACCTTCCTTGCTGAATACATCCCAAATAACCCAGTGGAGCCTGGGAGAACTGATGAAGGAAGAGGAAGGACATTTATTTCAACCGCAGCAGCATACAATGAAAAATAAAAGGGAGTTAAATAGAGTGATCTTAAGGAAAGCACAGGAGCACTTTGCATAATGAGGGTGTGTTTATCTGAGCTTAAGAATTTTCTTGGACTAAACGAAAAGTCATATTAATGAATATCTCTTCATCCTTCAAAATCATCACCTTCAAAGTCTTCCTATTGTGGCAAATTTCTTAATAACTGTACCATCCAACACACAGGAAGCCCTTCCAAGTTAACCCTTGTGAATAACAGACATCAGAACCAAAGGCCAGACTGCCTTTACTCCTCTTATATCACCAAATTCATAAAGGAAAACCCCTACTTGTTGTAACAGTTCAAACCACTTAAAAATTAATAGGCACTTTTTTTACATTGTATTTTTTCTCCTTAATTATTTTCTTTCTTAAAAGGCAATAATGCCTGCCACTTCAAGAGCGAGCCGCTTTTCTCCTAACACTAACACATTAGCCAATTATCCAGTCCTCTCAACAGCACAAATGGAAAGCACACATTGTTACATGGTTGCAAAAATGGAAGCCCCATAAGCCACCTGCAAAGAGGGACTGCACACAAAGAAGGTGTGAACCCAGCAACTTTTGGCAGAAGAGGGAAAAATGCAAAAAAATTGTCAGGAGAAAATATATTTGAAGTGTTCAAAGTCATTTTCAGCTGCGAAGTGGCTAACCACCTAGAAAGGCCAGAGATGGAGGGGAATTTATAATCATGAGAAGTTAATATGAAGTCATTGTACTCACCGTCTGATGGCTTCTGTCACAGAAACGCAGCCCAAAATAATCTATCTCCACAAGGTTTATGTGACGGAATACATGGTCAAGGACAATGGAACCTTTCGTGGACTTCTGCAAAAAATAATTCAGTTTTACTTTTTTAAAAACACGGTATCTTGTCTTGTGTCTCAGTAGGGTACAATCATGCTTCTCAGCTATTAGCTCCCCTCACTGTGACAGCATTTTCATTAAACCACAGTACCTTCTTTAGGTTTTGCCTCAATTACAAAGACAAATGTAATTTAAAGTAAGTGTATTAAGGAAATTGCTTTAGAAAATAATTCTTAAACTGGAGCAATTGTTAATATAAGCTTCTTTACTTATGGGATTATAAATTATCTTCAAAACAAATTTCTTTTAAATAAAGATAATCTTTTTCTATATGAAAAATATCTAATAAATTCATCAAACAAAACTTTGGTTTAAAATCCCATAATTCTTTTATTTTACAAAGCAATTTCCACCCTATATCATTACTCTAACAAGTATCTAATACAAAATTAACAATAGCCAAAGATTTTGTTTTTAAATTTTCAAATAATAAACCCATAGATTAAAGCTGCTAAAACTGATGTCCTCAAAAGCACAGCAAAGATATTTTACTTGATCTTTTTCACATAAGCATCGACAGAAAGAAAACATTTCTTTTGGCTGCTTTTAAAAACCCTGATACCTACCTAACATACTAATCACTCTTCTTTTCCCTCCCACTACATACACAGATCAAATTCTTTAAGATTCTTGAATAAGCAAGGCCCTGGGTTCAATTCCCAGAACAACAACAAGAGTCTTTCATCTGATATATTAAATAACAACTATTCACATATTTAATAAACAATCAACAAATACTACCCTACACACCACAGGATCTTGAAAATGATCTGCTCCATGAAACCACTATATGATCAGTTATCCCTTCCCTTTATTTTGCCCCCATCAATAGTAGGTAGCAAAAGAAGTCCCCAAGTTCATGTTTCGTGGCAATAAAACTGGGCTTTTGTTCAATTACATCTCCCTCAGAGGATTACCGTTACATGCTTCTGCATATGAGGTGGGTACTCAATACTACACTGCTTTTAGAAAATGGTCTGTTAATTTAAGGGAAATGTTTTGGTTAAATATATCATAAAATGACTGATATGAGGTGGTCAAAGTACACAGAAGATGCTTCGTGTTACAAATCTCATAGGTTATTTTACCTCTGAATTACATTAAATTCATTAAGCAACTTATTTAAAACAAAACACCCTTCCAAGATAGACCTTTACACTATTGGACATTTTCTGTTAAAATAACAGTGCTACATCTAGTGAATGCTTCTGTGTGCTCATGTACAGGTACACTTCCCTTGGATAAAAATCTGGAAGTGAAATGACTCATTTAAAGCATACACATACCAGTTATTATAGTGGACACTGCCAAAAAGACCATTCCATTTCACTCAGCAAAAATACTTATCCCCTCCCACCTTGCCAACACTTAGATTGAGAAAATTTTTTCTAATCTGATTAAGGGGTAAGAAAAGGATGTTTGTTCACATTTTCCTGACTTTCCTAAAAGTAAACACTTGTTCATGTACTTACTAGCTAGCTGATCACATTTCCTAGTGTTCGGGCTAGGCATTCTCTAATCCAAAGTTTATCGGCAAATTCTCCTACAACTTCTAATACATGCCCAATTTTACTTAGCGTATTTAGCTCTTCATTCCATCTGGAAATTATTTTTGTGCTTGGGATAAGGCCTAGCTCAGTTTCCAAATAGATTGATAATTGCATCACCATTTACTGAAAAGGCCATCATTTCCATTTTGATTTGAAACAACTATATCATCTGCTAACTACCCAGTCCTACCCAATGGATTGGTCCAGGAATAATACCGATATTTTAATGAGTTTAACATAATTTGATATTCATCGTTCCTTTTCAAAATTGCCTTTGCCAGCTCTTAGGCATGTTTTTCTACTAGAAGTTTAGAATCAGCTTGCTAATTTAAATCACAATTCTGTGGGGAATGTGGAATTAAACTGAAATGACAGACTGGATGACAGTGAAGCAGGGAAAGATACAATATTAAATACTAAATTAATATTAAATATTAAATTAATACAATGTTAAAATATACATGATTTTTTTAATATACTTCAAGGAAAATTTATACTTTTTTCACAGAGGCCACATAAAATTCTACTTAGACTTTGTAGCAGGTAAAATGTACAAAATACCTTCCCCCACTGTTATGGTGTGTGTCTAGATGTCCTCCTAAAGCCTCCTGTGGGGCTTTTCAGAGGTGGCTGGATCTACAGTGTGCGATGTTAGGATTAAGGGTGTGATGCCGGGATTAAGGGGCTAAATTAGTCCACTGATTGGATTGACACAGTCCTGAGTGTGGGTAATGGGAAGGGCCACAATGGGTGTGAGTGCTGCCTGCTCTTAGGGCAAGTAGCCTAGATAGAATGTAAGGAACAGAAAGAGGGCCGCTGTTATTGCTTGTCACTTGCTGCTGGCTGCTTAGCCACCTTCTGTCTGCTGCAAGCTATTTCCCCCGTGATACCTCTCTGCCATGCCACACTGCCTTGGAGCTAGCCGATTATGAACTGAAAACTCTACAAAATAAGAGCGATAATAAACCTTTCCTCCTTTAGCCTTGGGCGTCACGTATTTTTGTCTCAGCAATGAGAAAAACACACCCACCAAAGAAGTCCCATCCTCATCTACTGAACCCATGAATATGAAGAGTTGCCATTCAAGCAATTATTCCATACAGTTGACCTTCAGATAGGGAGATTATCAGAGAGCACTTAATCTAATCAATGCAAACACTTTCTCCAGCACAAGGGGAAGGCAGAAGAAAAGTCAAGGCTGTCCAGAGTTTGAGAAGGACTTCACGTGTCCTTGCCACTTGAAAGATGGAGCGGGACATCTAAGAAGCAATACGAGCTGCCTCAAGGAGCTGGAACAGCCCCTACCTGACAGCCGGCAGGGAAAGGGAAATGCAGTCCACTCACAAAAATGAGATTCTGCCAACTTCCTGGAAGAAGCTGCTGATTGCGGAGGAAGTAGATTTTTTCCCCAGAGTCTTCAGATAAGAAACCAGCAAACCAACACTCTGACTTCAGCCTTGCCCTGAGCAGAGAACCTACTCACCTTCTGGACTTCTAGCCTCCAGAACTGTGAGATAGCAAATTTGGTGCATTTAAGCCACTATGTGTTTGGCAATTGTTATAGAGCAATGGGACGCTAACATAGGCTTATTCTTAGATACAGTTTTATTGTTGTACTTTGATTGGATATTGCCAATGTATTCAAAAGCAACTACTTTTTCCAACACTGGTTTTATTCCCTACCATCTCGCTAAATTCTCATTAGTTAAAACAGTTTGTCTATGGAGTCTTTTCAACTAATCATGTTTTCTTTAAATAATAAAAGTTCTAGCTCTTCCTTTGCAAAATGTCTCCCCATATTTATTTCTCTTTTCTTACTGCATGGGCTGAGACCTCAGAAGACGGGTCGGTGGTAGTTGTGAGACCATGCATTCTTTTCTTCTTCCTGGCCTTAATGGAATGGCTTCTTCTTTTGCAAGCAAACCAAGAGATGGGGCAGGGGGTGAAGACAGAATTAAGATGTGTTAGGTACAGTACAAACTCCCCATGATTAATGTGGTCATCATGTGATGCACATATATATTAATGTAAAGCTTTAATGTTTTTTTACCACTAAGTATAATAGCTGTTACACAGCCCTAATATGTACCCTCTATCAAAGAGAAGTTCCCTCTTCTCCAATTTTTCTGATCTTTGCTTTGGTTTGGTTTTTAAATAAGAATGGGAGATAATTCTATCAACTTTCTTTTAGAAAAAAGTATAAATTTTGTCTTTTTCTCTATGAGTTACACTAAAACTTCCTAATTTCAAATACTCTTTTAAAAGGGGCTCCCATTTTGGTTCTTTTGTTCAGGGTACATAATATCCAACCTCCTCTGACATGGAAGGAATTGCCTTCTTGGTGGAGGAAAGAACCAGACTCCCCAACCCCTGACAGCTATGCTATCAGCACAAGACTGGTTTCAGCCAAGAACTTTGATTTGTGAATGAGTGACACACAGATGTGGGGAGAGATTAGAAGTTATTCACAGCAAGGACTCCCAATGGCAGGGCAGCATTCAGTAGTAAAGACGCCTAGTTGTGGACTCAGCTGAGGACTGGCATCTGATTCTGAGCAAGATTGTCCAGCATTCTTGAGGTAGTCGATAAGAACAGCCAAACAATCAATACCTGTCTTCCTCTGCCCTATGACCGCAGTGATGTTTGACCCAAGAACCAACCCAGTGTCCCAAAGAAAAATCTGTACTAAAAATGTGAATTTGGGCCAATGGTATACTAAAAATGAGTATAAACATTTTATTCTAGGAATGTGAGTACATTATGCAGGGTTTCTGATTAATGTCACTATGAAAATGATTTATTGAAAGATGCTGTATGTCTCAGAGGTCCTATAGACATCATCATGATGGCTACCCAGGCTCTTCCTGATCTCATATATCCACAGCCACTAAGCCTGCAATACTCCATAATCCACACTGTCTTCTGTCCATGTTTCAGGCAATGATTTTCCCCCTCGATCGTTTCCTATTGACTTTCAGGAATGCTGTGTGTGTGTGTGTGTGTGTGTGTGTGGTACCAGGGATCGAACTTGGGACCTTGCGCTTGCGAAGCAGGCAGCGGAAGTATTGAGTTAAATCCCTAGCTCAGAACACTTTTATAACTTCTGTCCAGCTAAGATCAAATGTTATTATTTTCTAAGTGGCTGTGGAAAATGCACTAACATCTTTCCTGTTAGTTCAAGCTATTCCTGAAGGCCACGATATAATCTTCCATCTTGATCTCATCTTTCCTAGAGTTCTCTCTCCTCTCCAGGCATAGAAAGAATAAGTGGAATACTAGAGCTTGTACCACCACATAACTCTACCTCGTTCTTCTATCCCATGCAAGTAAATAAGAGGTTCAAGAACAAAAGAGAAAAAAATGCGTGAAAATGTCAGTGAAATGGTACATATTCTTAAAATGTCTGTAAGT